TTTCCAAGAGTCTGGATAGCAAACAAGCAATAGAAACAGTTGTGGGAGGGTTGTTCTAGGGGTAGCGGCAGTAAGGAGGAGAGGCAAATAATGTGGGAGCAAATTAGCAAAAGATGGGGGAAAGTATGTAGTATAAACCGCTTGGAGACCAAAATACAACTGGAGCACCACTTGAACCCTAAGATACACCCGTATGTAGAGGGAAAAGGATACGTCGACGGCTGTCCCAAAGCAATTCACAGCAAAAAACTAAACCCTAAATACCAAAAAAATAAAATTTATATCCCTAAATAACTAGGAATGGGTCAACCACCCCTCCAAAACCCTAGACCGAACTGATCCAAGTTAAGACACCGGGCATCAGCATCTTCCCTTAATGTGAAAAACTAAACATCATACTCCTTCGACTACATAGAGTCTAGGACACCATGTTTCTTCTTTTGCTGATGATTTACAAATTTCTATAGATGCTACAATTCATGATTGTGGACAAAAAATTTTAATTCGAGTCGATTGTCTTCTTTACTAAGAACAATAAGAGTTCAGCAACTCATGACAACCAAAACATGAAATTCTAATTGAGTTATGTTTTCCTTTTTTAAAATTTGATTCCTTCCATATACCCATGTCCTCTTTAAGCCTATTCATCCTTGAAATTAAATTTAAACATATCAAATTAAATTGAACACCACTATAACTCCTTGATTAATAGTTTTCCTAAATGCCCAAAATATAATTAAACTATAAGTTGTTCCTCCAAGAATCTTCTTGGATCCCACAAAAAAGATAAATGTATTGAATCACATATTTCACTTACGAATACATGGAATGTAATTTTAGTAGTAGTAGCTCTAGGGGCAAAGTTATAACTATGGGTGATCAAATCATTAAAAGGTGTGATGGTTTTAGATATTTCGGGTTTATTGTTCAGAGTGATGGTGATAAAGATGGAGATGCTATTAGTAGAATTCAAGTTGGTTGGTTGAAATGGAGGAGTGCATCGGGTCTATTGTGTGATAGAAAAGTACCGCTTAGATTGAAAGAAAAATTTTATAAGATGGTAGAGGGACCTGTAATGTTGCATGGTGTTGAGCGTTGGCCTTTAAATGAGAAGTATAAAACAAAGTTAAGTGTTGTTGAGATGAGAATGCATAGGTGGCTTGACACATAGAGACAGAATGCAAAATGAATACATCTATGAGGTTGGTGTAGCTTCAGTAGCGAACAAGACTAGAGATAGTCATCTTAGATGGTTTGTTCACATTAAACGTCGACCATCTAATAATCTTATTAGGAGAATAGATAGTTTAGATTCCACTTATGTTAAGAAAGTGAGAGGTAGACCGAAAAAAGACTTGGGCATATTTTATAAAAAATTATTTTAATCTGTTAGAATTAAATGAAAATATCACACTCAAAAGGACGCAATGGTGAAAGGATTCATATAGCCGACACCACTTCGTGGGATAAAGGCTTGTTTTTACTGTATATATTTCCCTTACGAGAAATACTTTAAAAACATACAAATATATTCAATTTTTTTCATAGATATCTCATGAGTTTGAGTTTGAGTTGGTTGATCTTTGATATACATGGACCTCCTTCCCAAACTTTTTTCAATATATTATTATGAAATATATTTCCAAAATATAAAAATCAAAACAAAATTTATTTAATATAAAACAAAAAATGTCGTGCAAAATCAAAAATATAAACTAATAATTTGTATTTAAAAAATATAGTGGAAATTCAACGAGGGATATATTGTACTTATTTGAACTTGGCCAAATAGCTTCCCTCCCAGCACATTCAAAAAGCCCCAAACATCATCATATAGTTCTTGCAAATTATTAGGAAATTTTATTCAGATACTTATTTGATTGACTTGTTGCATGAATTTAATTTCAGTCATGTATTTAACATTGAAGATATGATATAAGACACTTTTAAACCTTTTGTGAAGTAAACCTTTTGTAGGAAGGACTTTTACTATCGTAAATATTTGTGTTATCCACATGTTTCCATCTAACATAACAAACTACCAAGGTGGCAAAAATTATTTGGGAATTTTACATACATACCATACAATTCTTATGTATTTACATATGTAACACATTTATTTTTTATAGTTACATGTATAACACCTTGCTATTATAAACCTCCGCATGAAAATGGTGTATTTCACTATAAATAAATAAATAACAAAAGTATTTTTTATGTGATATTAAAGATTTTGAGTGATATGCATGTAAACACGAAAGTCTAGATGTTAGTTATGTAAATATGTAAGAGTTGTGTGGTATGTATGTAAATGCCCCGAATCATTATTGATGAGAACATAATAGATTAGGGTTGTCAAAAAAGCTTTTTTCTAGCGAACAACTCGTGTTTGGCTCATTCATTAAATAAACAAGTCGAACACGAATTATTTTTTTAAGCTCGAATTATAAACGAGCCGAGCATGAACAGCTCTTTGTTCACTCGTGTTGGGCTGATTTTAGCTCGAAATAAAAAAAATCACATAATTATTAATATAATAATATATTATATATATTTATATCTAATATGAAATATTTACAGCTCGTGTACTAATGTGGTTATGTGTCTTGTTTTGCATAGATTTAGTCCAAATTCAAAACCAACACTCTACATCTATTCTTTTCAATTAATTTTAACGAGCTAATTTTGAGTCGAACACGAAACAAAATATTTAAATCGAGTTGAACGCGAACACACTGTTCGTGAGCCAATTTCGAACATGTGAAATTACGGACGAGCCAAAGATGAGCTAAGCCAGAGCTCGCTCAAGCTCAGCTCGTTTACAGCCCTATAGCATATGCTACTGGAGTGCACTGATACTTAATTTGCTAGAAGAGTCAACCTATTGCGTGTGCTTCTTAGATTAAACATGTTGAATTATATAGATATCCAACTCTTCAAAAGGAACTTCATTTATCCATAGTAGTAGATATATTACAAGATCCTCATCCTAAATTAAAGCCTAAGAGGTTACTTGGTATCACTTGTCTTTTATTTTCTATTTTTTGTTTTCATTTTATTTTGTTTATGTTTTAATTTGAAATAAAAGATGTTCTAAATATTTGATTAAGATATGAATGATTGTAGAAACACTCAAAACACCTAAAAATTAACTTGCATGTTTTCAAAAAAATGTTAATTTGATTTTAGGAACCAAAATAAAAAACATGTAAAAAAACACACTAAACATGTTTTTAAAAATTTAAAAAATTAAATTAAAACAAAATAAAATTTATACTAAATAATGTCAAGTTAATCACAAGATCAAAATTCAGATAGCATTCAAATCAATCTAGTCACGAATTTCTCTTTATTGTGACTTATATTTCATTTTATACTAAAATTAATTATGATTATATTTTAATTATTTCATATATAAGAGTTACAATTTTATTTAGTCTTGCCTTCTACTTTATTTAGATAATGGCCTTTACTTATTTTTTAAAAGCAAAAGTTGGATTAGTTTAAAATTAACCCTATTCCTATCAATTGTAATAGGAAAGTCATGCATTCAATTATTTATAATAAATTGAAACTGAAAGTAAATTCCTACTTCCTCTCCTATATTCTCTCTCATCCTACCTTTCAATTTACTCTCTAATGATACTCACAAAAATTGTAGATCTTAATTTGTCAAATTCAAGTCGTAGACTTTCCTCTTGTGGTTGACTACTTTTAGTATTCTCTTTCTTGGTTTCTACGACAAATCCAATTTTATTCCAACTTCACTAAGAATTGGATTCAAGGAGATAACAAGCAATTCAAAAGCAACATAAGAGAGGAAGGAAGCGGAAGATCGTGACTGATATATCTTCATCAAAAGCCTCATCAATTTTGATATTAGATTAAATCATATTCCTTCAATAATCCTATGCAAAGATTCACTACAGCATTAATCTATACTTATGGGGTCAATAGTTTATGCCACAAATATCAATTCAAATTTCAAACTAGAAGATTCTACCCAGAAAAATTTAATAAAGATTTACGTGCATACCACTCAATTCTAATGTATCTCCATATCTATCATCTAAACTTCAACATATGCCACCATTATGATGTGCATAAATTGTGTGATGTCATTTCATGTCCATCACTTCTAAGATATAATTTAATGGCATTTCATTTCTCCTAGAAATGTTGCCTCGGCACTTATCACGTCTACTAATGTAATCACTTACCTGCACATGAAAAGGTGTATTTCTCTTTTTCAAAGTCAAAATAGTCATATTTTTTATGTGATACAAATAATTTCGGTGGTACAACTGTGAAATGCAAAGTTCAGGTGTTAGATATGTAAATATATAGGAAGTGAGTGGTATGTATGTAAATGCGCCAAAAGTTAATCTAATGGTATGTGACATGAAGCTGAGTTGTAAACTGCACGTATCTTCTCCTAAGACACGTTTCTAATGTAAATTTAACATATAAATTCATTCAAAAATGATATCAATTACGCTTCTATCCTGTTATTTATGATACTAAGGATCAACACAATTTTTTCTTGTGTGTTATATTCTGCATGAACGTGTAGTAATGCCATGTAACGCATACAAAAAACTCTAAGAAAATGAATTCATTAGTTATATATGTTGTCATTACAGCCTTCAGCGCCTAGCATAGCAATGTAAATTTTCGGCCATTTTTGGTTCCCATGAGTTGCAAATGGTTACCCTATCAAATTCAAATCATATTGAAATAGAATGTAAAGTGTTGGTTTGCAAAATCAAAAAAGGAATTTACCTATCAAATACCTAAAAAACAATTTTTACATACATAACACCTTACCTATGCATGAAAATGTGTATTTCAATTTTTAAAAATTAAAATTGTGGTTTTTTTTATGTGATATGAAAGATTTGGGTGGTAAAAATGTAAAAGCAAAGTATTAAGTGTTAGATATGTAAATACATATGAATTGGTGGTATCTATGTAAATGCCCCAAACAAAAATCATCTCACCATGATCCAATTCCATCACCAGAAAACTGAGAGGGATTACTACTGGTGTCCCAAATCTTCATTGTAAGGTCATCACTGTAAAACAAGTACACGGTTATCTAAAATAATTGAGCTTGAGAAAATTCTAATAAGCAATTATAAATATACTCATTACACTAAATACCTGCATGTAACCATTCTATCACCAGCTGGATTGAAAGATAGTGCCCAAACCGTTGATGAATGACCACTAAAGAACACCAAAATCCAACATGAATTAGGATTAAAAGAAAAAGGAGAGTTTACAGACAAAGCACAAAATTCTTATGTATTTACATATGTAACATTTAAACATTCATATTTACATGCATACCACTCAAATCCTTAACAACACATCAAAAATACCACAATCACTATATTTTTAAAAGTTAAATACACTTTTTCATGCATAAGTTTATGGCAACAAGGTGTTATAAGTGTAAATATCAAACTTCGGGTGTTAGAATGTAAATACATAAGAATTGTGTGGTATTTATGTAAATTTTCCTACAAAAATATTTTGGAAGATTTACATACGTACCACACAATTTTTATGTATTTATATATCAAAAACCAAAAATTCAATTTTACATAAATACCACGTACATATGTATGAAAGGTTGTATTTCTATTTTAACATTAAAATAATGACATTTTTTATGTGATGTGAAAGATTTTGTTGGTATAAATGTAAAAAGCAAAATTTAGGTGTTAGATATGTAAATACATAAGAATTGAGCGGATGTATGTAAATGTCCCTTTTTAAGGAAATTTACAAATGTAGCACACAATTCTTATGTATTTACATATATCACACCTAAACTTTTGTATTTACATACATAGCACTTTGCTGCTTTAAACCAAATGTTATTTATGTGATTTCAAAGATTTAAGAGCTGTGTGAATATGAAAGTTTAAGTGTGAGATATGTAATGACATAAGAATTGTGTGCTATGTACGTAAATGCCTCTTGATTTTTTTTAAATCACAACTAAGTCATTAGCAATTCTGATTGATAAAAAACCTTCTCCATTGAACATGAAGTTGTAGTTTATTAATCAATAAAGATTTGTCAAATTTTCTGTTTATCATACTGACAATATAAATGGAACAAATCTAAAAATAAGAGGAAAATGCATTTAAAATATTTAATCACCTGCTACTTTCACCTAATGTTTGCACACAGCTCCAATCATCAAGATCGCCATCCTCAATCCAGACCTAGCGCGCACAAAAAAAAGGCCATTCATACCACACAATTCTTATATATTTACATATCTAACACCTAAACTTTGATAATTGCATGCATACCACTCAAATCTTTTAGCAACACATCAAAAATAACACTATTATCAACTTTTAAAAAGTGAAATAAGGTTGTACATATGTAAAAATAGAAATATAGGTGTTAGATATGTAAATACATAAGATTTGAGTGGAACGTGTGTAAATATTCTAAAAATAAAAAGGTTCCAAACTTGCTGAACATGAATAAAGATAAACACTTTCAAAATATTTCAGTACCTTAATAGAATTATCATAACTGACAGAAACCAAAACATCCAAATGTGGATGCCATTGCACCAACTTGACATCTTGTGTGTGCCCTTGCAGCACAGCAACACATTCAAACTCATTGCCGGGTTGCATTTCCCAGATCCATACAGACTTATCTCGACTACAAGTGGCTAGCAAAGACCCGGAAGGATTCCATGCAACACCCTTAACTTCATTTTCATGACCCTGACGAAAAGAAAAAAAAAGAGTTACATATATACTGCTTAATTCCTATGTACTTGCATACAAGAAAATTTACATAACCAAGCACAAAATTCTTATTTATTTACATATCTTGGACCTAAACTTTCATAATTACTCACATTGCACTTTGTTGCTTTAAAGGTATGCCTTAAAATGTGTATTTCACTATTAAAAAGTGATAATGGTGCTATTTTTTACATGATTTTAAAGATTTTGAGTGATATGTGTATAAATATGAAAGTTTATGATACCGTTACAGGGCTCCTAGAAGCTGTTTGGGAAACGGTTCTAATGGGGAGCAGGTAGGGGTATAGTATAGGACAAAATTTTGGGCTATCTTCTGCGGCTGTCCCAACTGAAAACAACAAGGAAAACCATGAATCAGTTTGGCCGAAATTTGCGGCATGAATAAAGGCGGAACAGTGAACCGTATTGATAAAAGTAGTTTTTTCCTGCTGCGAAGAGCAGTTGGCTGTGAGTTCGACGATAAAGGAGGCCTCTGAGCAACAGAGAGATATCACCACCTCGATTCTATCAGGCTACAAACTCAACACCTGAAATAAACACTCCAATAGAGATAATCAAGAAAAACATCTCCAATAACATAAATCAAATCATAAGTCTTCCCAAACCAGAAAATAGGAACACATAAATAATCTCTCAAGCAAAATCCTATTTTAGAATAAGAAAAATTGGAAATAAGTCAAAAGGAAAGACAAAAAAAAACTAAAATTGGAATGCCTCGAGCGGCAACCAAGGTCGCGGCACAAAAATCCCATTACAGGATAGCGGCAATCCCATGATGGGATCTCGGAAGCCCACTTCCCATGGTTTTGTGATTGTGCTCCCGCATCATTCTCCTCGGCTAAGAAAGGTTTATCTTCTTCACTGGAAGTTTCTGAAATTGATCTATCATTGCCATAACAAAATTGTTGCCTTGTTCTATAAGAAGCAGTCCCACTATAAAATCTTTACTTGTGTCCATTACAAGCAACTCTAAAACACATATGTCCTTCTAAAGTTGGTCCTGATATAAAAAAAAAAACTTATCCTTTTTTGGCACAACCAGAGCTGCAACTGAATATAAATGTGTATTCTCATGAGCAAAGCCTCAAGCCCACAATGTAATATGCTTCCCACACTCTTCATGATCGACCAGGCATATCTGATAAACAAGTCTGTCAGAAGGAACCAACTCTGAAACAAAATCTATGACAAGTTGGACAACTCTCAATGACAACCACTCAGGAGAGCTCTCTTCTTCCTGCAAAACCTATATCCCAATGTAGCCTATTCTTTCCAACAAAATTCCGAAAGTGATTTTCAATGTTGTGGTGCATTCCTCCTGCTTGGGTGCACTACGGAACTGAATTTAATACTCAAATTACTCCATATAATCTTTCAGAATTAACTCAAAAGCTTCTCTTTTCCGACATGTTAAACCTTCCTCAATAGAAACAGCTCAGGAGATAGACTATATGTCTAAAAATTTTGAAATTCTCTTATCAAATGTAGCCCTATATTTGGTATCGGCTCCTCAATCTCATGGCTTTTTGGACAACCAATATCAATCTTGTTGATGTTGCTCTTAATGCCTGCAAAATGAGAGTTCATGGCATCACATCCTCAAACTTTACATGAATGTTTGTTACCTCGAACTCACTACCATTGAAACAACTAATGTTAATCCAACAAGAATCTCTGTCATAGATTCAACTTAAATCACTGGTGTCTCTTCCTTGTCGACTGAAAGTTGACTCCTCCCTGAAGGCTTCATCCTCTCATGTGTTACTATCAATTTCTTCAACTACTCCTTGCTCCTGAAATAGGTCGCTCTTCTATTTGGACAATAGATACCACGTGGCCAAAGTTGTGGTACTTTAAGCATTTACTGGAGGGGAAGAAGTTGAGAGTATTAGTCATCTCCACCTTTTCTCTGGTCTATACAAGTTCCTCCTCTAGCTAGGACGACTTGGGTGCTCTATTGGGTGTACTCTTACTATATGATCCAAGGGTTGAACTATGTTTGAAGGGTTGTATAGACCTAATATTGTCATGTTGTCTTTCCAACGTTAGTGCTATGACATGGAAGTCTTGTAACATCCAATAAAATTGCAACTATACCACATTGTCAATCGACGATCTCAATCCACTCAAATATCAAGCTATAAGGTTCTTCTCAAACTCAACTAGCCCACACTTCAGCATAAAATGCTCAAGCTCGATTGTGCACTCTTCTACTAAGAGATCTTTCTGTTGTACACGGTAAAGTTTCAAGAACATATCATGCTTGTAATGTGATAGAAAGTACTAGCCAATGAATTCTTCTACCAGACAGTTTTCAACTTGTATCATATAGTGATTTTGCATTTTCCCTTATATTGGCGTGGACACTTCAAATTTTCCCACCACAGCAGCACTCCTTTTAACTTAATGGTTGGTAGCTTTACCATTTTATCCGGTGGAATATCCTTATATTCAAATAACTATTCCGTTGCTTGAATCCACTCAATGAATTTTTTTGGATCCCTACAACCATCAAAATCCGGTAAATTTGCGTTTACTCCAAGATGTTGACTTCTCCATTGATATTCCAAGTCGAAATTTTGGGTTTGTGGTTCTTCAGCGCTGAAAACTGTCTGGTGGAAGGGATTCACTTCATCCTTTCGATTTGAGTCGAGTGTTGTGGCTACAGGTATCGAACACGGCACATCTTTGTTGCAGTTGGAGTATTTCCACTGCATATTTTTCATAAAAAAATTTTGGACACCTCTTTGTGGATTTCTCATAAACGGAATTATGTCATTTCCTCTCAATGAAATTTTCGGCAGATGTGGGATTGCGATTCAAGATTGGTTGAGGTTGAGGGCTTTAGTGGAAAGTGTGGAGGTGATTTTTTGGTGTAGGTATAAAAGTTGAATTTTGAAACTTTAGGGTTAGGATTAGGGTTAGGAATTATGATAGATTGTATGACTGACTTAGGAATGGTGGATTTTTTTATTATTATTTTTGGATTGGGATAGGAAAGATAACTCTAAAAAATCTATGATTTACCGGGCTTTGATACTAGAAGATATCATTCTAGGGCTCCTGGAGGTGTTCGAGAATCGCGTCTGACAGGGAGGAGGTAGAGGAATAGTAATGGTATGAAATTTCGGGTTATCGGTGTATTTGGAGCAAGAAAGAAGATGTTTGGTGGCTGTCCCCGCTGAAATCAGCAAGGAAAATTACAAAACAATGAGGCACGGATGTTGAGAAAGGGTGTCAACTGAAATTGTGGAGTGGATAAAGGCGGGACAGTTAATCGGATTGATAAAAGTTGTTTTCCTGGTGCGAATAGCAGTTAGTTGGACAACGAAGGAGGCTTCTAAGCCCCCAGGAAAGATCACTACTTTGATCCTATCAGGTTACAGACACACCACCTGAAAGAAATCTAAGGAAACAATACTCCAATAAAGATAGCTAGAAGAAAAAATCTCCAAATGACATAAACCAAATTAAAAATCATCTCAAACCAGAAAATAGAAACATATAAATAATCTCTCAAGCAAAACCCCACTTAGGAATAAGAAAAATAGGAAATAAATCAACAGGAAAGACAAAATGCCAAAATAGGAAAGCCTCAAGTGGCTACCAAGATTGTGGTCGCGAAAGCCCGTGATGGGATCGCGGCAATCCCCATGAAGAGATGGCGGATGCCCCCATCTCGTGGTGTTGCAAATGCGCTCCAGCGTCTGTTTAGGTGAAAGATATGTAAATATATAAGAATTGTGTGTTGTGTATCTAGATAACCTCACATATTTAACACATAAAGTTTAATGCTTACATACATACCACCTTACATGTGCATGAAAATGTGTGTTTCACTTTTTAAAAAGTTAAAATGGTGCCCTTTTTCATTGAAAATTTCGGAGTGTATAAATGTATAAAGTAAAATTTTGGTGATAAATGTGTAAATACACAAGAATTCGGTGGTATGTAGCCCCCACAAAAGTCAAAATCTCTTTTGAGATAATTTAAGAATAATTAAGCAGACAACAAAGGTACAAAAACCAATCAAGCACAGTAAAATGAAGAACAATATGTATTCTAGTGGCGAGCAAAGACCATGAAGGATTCCATCCAACACCCTTAACTTCATTTTCAGTATGTAGCCCCCAAAGAAAGTAAAAATCTCTTTTGAGATAATTTAAGAATAATTAAGCAGACAACAAAGGTACAAAAACCAATCAAGCATAGTAAAATGAAGAACAATATGTGTTCTAGCGGCGAGCAAAGACCATGAAGGATTCCATCCAACACCCTTAACTTCATTTTCATGACTCTGATGAAAAAGAAAAGGATTTGCATACATACCACTTAATTCCTATGTATTTACATATTTAACACCTAAACTTTATTTTTTACATACATACCACCTTACATATGCATGACAGGGTGTATTTCACTTTTTAGAAGTTAAAATTGTGATATTTGTTAATGTGATGTGAAAGATTCTAGTGGTATAAATGTAAATGTAACATTTAAACGTTAAATATGTAAATACATAGGAATTGGGCAGTATATATGTAAATACCACCAAAAAAAGTCAAATTTTCTTTCGAGATAATTAAGCAAAAAATAAAAGTACAAAAACCATCAAGCACAGTAAAATGAAGAACAATCTGCATTCTAAGTGACGCCGATAAAGCAAAAAATACCTCTAATGTTGCAATACATTCAAAATCACCACCACTTTTCTGCCATATTGCAGTTGTGGCATCAAAACTTCCCGTTGCTAATAGTTTTCCGCATGGAGACCAAGCACAAGATCTAACAGTACGGTTATGGGTGTCTTCCAATACAGCCTGCATCAAAGAAAGCTTCCTAGAATCAGTAATTAATGAGATTTATTCATGATTAATATTTCCCCATATATCTTAAAAACCCATGAACAATCAATAAAAGAACTATTTTAGTGAAAACAAAAATAAAGAAAAGGGCATGTACATGCATATCACCCAATTCCTATGTATTTACATATCTAACACCTAAACTTTCCCTTCTTACATTTCTACTTCGCAAACCTTTCATAGCACATCAAAAGTACCACTATTTTATTTTTTTAAATGTGAAATACACTTTTTCGTGCAGATGTAAGGTAGCATATACCTAAATATTGACATTTAGGTGTTAGATATGTAAATACATGAGAATTTAGTGGTAGGCATATAAATCTTCCAATAAAAAATGGCGCATGTATGGTATAAAGGTAAAGGCAATTGTTTCTCACCTTTGTGCCCCATTTTGGTGACACTTTCATAAGAATGGTCAATTCAACAATACCATGAACTAGTGTGGAAAGAACATGCTTTAAAAGAGAGTGGATCTCCATGAATTAAACAAAGGCTACAACTCAAAACTTTAGAGAGCGATTGGGATCACATTTGTTTTATGTTTTCTATTTTTTTATTCTATTTTGTTTTATTTATGTTTTGATGTGAAACAAAACCTATTTGGCATGTTTAATTAAGAGCTTGTTTGGAATCACTTTTGTGTTTTGTATTTTTCCTTTTTTGCTTTTATTTTAAAAACATTTTTTGTTTAATACGTTTTATAGATATTTTTATTTATTTGTTTCTAAAAACAAATTAGTTTGCTTTAAAAACATAAAATAAAGCAAAAATAATCCCTTGGTATTGCAGAGATCCGAAACGGAAAACATTTTGTCTAGCCACTTAAGGCCTATTTGGGGCAACTTATAAGTAGTGCGGGCGCCGTTTTAAAACCCCCGCCATACCGTTTGGTTCGCACTTTTTGATAGATTATTTAAAACTGCGTTTTTGATTTTATAAAACACTCGGACCGCGGGCGTCCGCGTTTCGCGATTTTTTTTACGGCATTAACCCTGTTCGAAGCCCGCTACCCGTGACCTTGGCCTCTCCCGTTAGCCTTTTTCCTTTTCCCTTCCTCTTCCGCGACCTCTCTCCCTGTTTGAAGCCGTATCTTCCTCCTCGCCCTCCCGTCGAAGCCGGATCTTGTCCTCTGTCTCTCGTCGAAGCTGGATCTTGTCGTCTCGCTCTCGTGCCGGCTCTTCTCCTTCGCTGTCGCTGAAGCCGTATCTGCTACCCTCGCTCCCGTCGAAACCGGATCTTCTCCTCTCATTCTCCTCGAAGCCGGATCTTCTCCTCTATCTGCAGTCAAAGCCAAATCTTCTACTCTCGCTCCCGTCAAAGCAAGATCTTCTCGTCTCGCTCCCGTCAAAGCCGGTTCTTCTCCGTTCGAAGCCGGATCTTCGCTGTCCGAAGCCTGTTCTTGCGGATCTTCTCGCTCCCGTCAAAGGCAGTTCTGTCTGAAGCCAGTTCTTGCGGATTTTCTTCAACAAACCAAAAGGTTGTCACAAAACTTATTTACAATCTAAGTTTTTTTCTATTTTTTAAAATTAAGGGGTTATATATGTGAAAGTTTCAATTTTGAAATTTTCACTGAGCATTTATCCTTAAAACATGAAAATCTCAACGATTCACACCTTAGGCAAAAATTTGTTCTTTGAG